CCTGTCCGTCCGACAGCTCTTTCCCTGGAAAAACAACCACGGTGCCTGCTGGTATGTGACCACCCTCTGCTGTTGCAGGGAAAAGGCGTCTAAGTGGTGAAGAGACTATAGCGATGCAACGTGCCACTTTTGCGTTCGCAGGCCTAGGACCCTCTGCCTCCGCAGGTAGGTCCCATTGCGAGCCCACCACAAACTTGCTTCGAATGGATTCCCCATCTGACAGCTTCAGGAGGAGCGTCTCTTCCTGTGAGCTGTCATTCGGCAATTCAACCGACTGAATGCCTCGATCCAGGACGTACACTCCGCCGCCAACTGCTAGCGCGCGACAGCCCACCTGCCCAATTTCGGAGCCGCCACCCCATTTGGTGAGCACACTGCCAAAGCCAGGGCCAAAGGCGCCTACAGAGCCAAGATGCCTCTTGATACGAGGCACGGCAAATCTCGCAGACGTCTGTTGCGGAGAAGATTGACTTAATGAAAGAGAGAGCAAAGGATCATGAAGCTCAGAAGGGACCTGGAATTTGGATGTCAAGTACTCTGAAAATGGTAAGTCGAGATCCTCCTCGCTAGAAACATCATCACCACCCTCCTGCAGGGTCTGACTGATGTTTCGAAGGAACTTGATGAGCATCCTTTTCGCCTTGACTGAGATGGAATCATCTGCGAAGATGTCTTCACGGCTACTGGGGACCCGATGCAGACGAGCGGATGCATCCTCGCTTGACTGAGATGCAGCGTCTTCTGCGGCAGGGGATGTATATATCCACCAGCTCCCTACAGCTTGGAACTCCAGCTGCCGGTAGACCTTGGATGACACAAGGGTAGGAAGCAGCTTCGACCGCGAATAGATCAGAAATGGAGACAAGGAAAGCGTGTAGGCGCGAGAGAAAGACAGCTTCTTCTCCGCATCTGACGAAGCAGGGCGCGAGTAGATCGAAGCTTCTTCAAACGGCTCCAGGCCAGGTTCTACTCCGACAACACCCGTTAGTACCAAAAATATTGAAAGTCTGGCTAATAAATGAGCATACCTTTCTTCAACCGATCTACCCACTCTTCTGCCTCCTGGAGGCTAAATCCGGCTTCCGGGCCCCCGTAGTATGGATTTTTGTCGACATGGAGAACTTTCTTACCTGACCGCGAGAGCGCTCTGCATGTGTCAATGGTTAGCAACAAATCTATGAACATCAAATGTGAGGGAAGGAAATACTCACAGTGCAAGGAGAGACTGGGCAAGGCCAGTCCCGGAAATTACTATATCCCATGATGTCTCCGACAGCGACTCCATGTTGACGGGAAGTGAGAATCAACTTCCCCCAGAGCAAGCACCAACTCTACTGCCTGAGTCTTCTCCCCAACTACCATCACGTTGGGTGAGAAGTGATAAGAAGGCTCTCCTGTGCTAGAATCCTTCCCATTTGTGTGTGGAAGGGGAGAGCTGGCTCCATGGGCGATGGAAAATAAATGATAGTCATAGAAAATTTCACCGCGGGAGCTGCATAATAAATGTTGCCGAACTAGTGGGTCATGTGACTCGTATAGTCTGCTAGTAGGGAAGTGCGGGGTGTCGGGCAGATCGTAACGCGAAAAACCAGCGATGGCAATAGTTTGCAACAGGATCACAGTAATTCTGCTTCTGGAAGGATTTCTTTATATATATTTATCTATATATTCCTACAAATTGCCTGGAGTCATAAGGAATGAAAATAAACTGCCCATCAACAATGTCAGACTTCCTGAAGATATACTAGTCTGAATACGGTTAGACCAGTAGAGCTCAATGCTAAACATTTTTCTCTGCGGCGACACGCCAATTCCCTTCACAATTCACGGCCACTCCGAGCGCTCTGCGTAGACACGCTGCAGTTATCGACATAGCAGTACTGTCTCCTGTTGACAAGCCTTCATTGGCTTGTCTCATGGGGAGTGGTAGATATGATCTGTCACCCTGTATCTGCTGCTCTGGATGGAAACATTTGATACGAGCGGTTCGTTTGTGGTGATACATTATTCTAGCTGTCAGCTATTTATTGTGCAGTCGTAAATATCTGCTATCAGACCTGCACCTCTAAGGAATACCGTAACACTTTCGAGGTGGCTGGCTGTCAACGAAACATGCCACTTTTGACGCGAATATTTGTTGTGCGTCGGGACTGTTGCAACCCGGTGTCTGTAGCCAAAGGGCAGATATTCTTGCCAATGGCGGATATGTATGCCGGTGCATACTGTATAAGCTCGTATGTCTGAACTGCTGTCAGACCTGAGTTGCCGTTCGTACTTCAACCTCAGTTCTTATGACAGCCATTTCATTCCTCCGCACCCTCCTCCAAGACCCTGGCCCGAATGATCTTCACCGGGTCGACAGGTCTGTCTTCAGAATCCGTCTTGACAAGTCCCATGCGCTGAATGACCCTCATGCCACTCTTGACCCTGCCAAAAATCGTGTGTTTGCCGTCCAGCCATGGTGTGGGAGCCAGGGTGATGAAAAACTGGCTGCCGTTCGTGTTAGGGCCGCTGTTAGCCATACTCAACACCCCAGCACCCGTATGTTTCAGCCCTGGATGAATCTCATCCTCGAACTTTTCGCCATATATCGAGGTTCCTCCTCTGCCGGTGCCTGTGGGATCGCCTCCTTGGATCATGAAGTTGGGGATGATGCGGTGGAAGATGACATTGTTATAGTAACCTCTCTGGGCAAGAGTCGCAAAGTTCTTACACGTCTAATGATGCGGAAAAGTTAGCGCATATGCCCGTCCAAAGCCAGTGGGACATTTTTACCTTTGGCGCATGCTCATTGTAGAGTTCTACAGTGAAGGAACCCTGTTGCCTGTCAGTCACAGAACGCGCAGTAATTTCTGCTGGATTGTATCTCACCATTGTTGTGTCAATGACAACGTCGGTAGCCATCTTGCTTTTATTCCTCAGCGATTTGAAAGATCTGCTCTTATCGCAAATGATTTTCGCTTTGTGAAGGGGGAGGTGGTTGTAGGCGGAGTGTCAAACCATCAAGTCTTGGCAGCTTTGTAGACACATCGGCGGCACGGCCGTCGACCAACAATTCGTGAAGCTGCGACCTTGGCACTCAGCGCCTTCGATTTTTCTGTTTATATCATGGCTAATGTTTGAATGGTATATTTATTTTCCAATCGAATATCTGGATTTCCTGATCTTTCTTCCACTGCCTCGGGCGGCGCACGCGTGTCGCTACGCGTTGTGCTGCTAAGCTGCCATTCATCATGACGACGGTTAGCCCCTTTGCGGAGTTCCTAGGACAAGTGCTCTACCAGTTCGAGATCATCAGGCCTCTCCTTCCAACATATGGCCATCTGATTCTGTCCGCCCTGTTTCCAATCTATACGGGAGCCCATGCGTCTCTATCAAGGCCGTCGTCGGCCGCCAAACCGCCGAAGAAGATCAAGGACGAGTCTGGAGACGAGGACGAAGATGAAGGGAAAGATAATCTGCAAAAGATGGAAGGCTTGGAGCCATCAGACGCTCTGATGTTCCCTTTGATGGCTGGTCTTACGTTAGGCGGCCTTTACCTAATCATCAAATGGTTGGAGGATCCGGCCATTCTGAACAAGATCCTGAGCTGGTACTTCTCTCAGGTGGGCATATTCTTTGCTACGGCTTTTCTCAAAGATGGCCTTTTGGTATTAAGGTCATTCGTTTTCCCTTCGCGTTACCGGTCTGGTGGACGCATTTGGAAAGCCAAACAATCGCAACATATTTTTGCAGTTGTTGAAGAGGAGGACAATCCAAATCAGCAGAGCGTACATGTCCGTCACTCACCACTTCCAGGGATTCTGGGGGCCATTCCTTTACCAAGCTTGGTATTAAGCTTTCTATGGTTCTGTCGCGGCCTTGCATATCAGAAGGTCACTTTGCGGGCTCATGTGCGTGGTGTGCTGGATATCAAGAGTCGGTTTGGTCTTCTTGATGCCACCGGAGGAGCTATAGCTCTATCTGCTGTCGCTTATTTCGCTTTCGTGACCAAGCCATGGTGGTTGACTAACCTCCTAGGTTTCAGCTTTTGTTATGGCGCCCTGCAGTTCATGTCGCCTTCCACCTTCTGGACAGGATCCTTGATTCTGGGCTCACTGTTCTTGTACGATATCTATTTCGTCTTCTTCACTCCATTGATGGTGACAGTAGCGACGAAATTGGATGTCCCAATCAAGCTGTTAATTCCCCGTCCACCAAGCCCCGATGAAGCCCCGGACACGATATCGCTGGCCATGTTGGGATTAGGCGACATTGTGATCCCAGGTATGATGGTGGGTTTGGCATTGCGCTACGATCTCTTCCTCTATTACAAGCGCAAGGGTATCCAAAAGGCACAAGCTGCAGGCACAGGCGAAAAATTCATTAAACCTCAGTACCAAACTGCGACAGGCGGTTGGGGGGAGCGCTTTTGGGCTCGACAAAAGCCCTCTCACGAGCCCCGGTTCCATCCTCCGTACCCGGATGCTCAATCGTTTCCGAAGACCTATTTCTATTCCAGTCTTGTTGGCTACACTATCGGCATGGTTGTCACCCTATTGGTGATGCAATATTCGAACCATGCCCAACCAGCTCTCCTTTATCTTGTCCCAGGTGTTCTCATCTCACTGTGGGGTACAGCACTCGTGAAAGGCGAGCTTCGTTCAATGTGGGAGTTTTCCGATTCCACAGAGGACGAGGAGGATGAAAGCGCCAAGGACATTAAGCGGGAGGAGAAGCAGGGAAATGCTGACAAGGGTATCCGTCGGAGTCTATTTTCCCGCATATTGTCCGGCGATATCAAAGGTCTTCCGGGCGTTTTGGAGGGGGTGAAGACTGAGAAGGACACCAGGTCGCCTGTTCCGCCAGATAACAATGCCTCCGAGGCTGCTGCGGGAGCGAGCCACGTCCCGAAAACTGAACGCAAGGAGACAGATCTAATCTCGTTCTCGATCTCCTTGCCAAGAAGGAAGGCGCCTCATCTACGAAAAGATTTCGTATCCAACAGCACCACATCTGCGGTTGAACCAAAAGGGGCTGCATTGTCGTCTGCAATCGAGCGGGACGGCGAGCCTCCGGCTAAGAAGAGACGACCCAGTCCTAAAAATGACCGGTGATTCCAGTCGTTACTACAGGAATAGACCAAAAGGAAAATGGTAATTGACACCTTGTTTCTGAGGGGATCTAGGTTCGGTTTTTTTGCATTGTTCACTCTTCATGCTTAAACTGCATCATGGGCGCTTCTTGGTCAGATTTGGGAAATAGGTTTTTTCATTTAATTATAGATATTTCGGTAATTGGGAGCAACGAATTACGTTCATTTCTAGCGTAAAGCCCTGTAACATTGGTATCATCATACATTGTTTCTCTCAACATTTTTTTTGAAAGTCCACATGCATGGGATCATGAACATCATAATGCCTCCAAAATACCCTTCACTTGCGCCCATCTTTGTGCAGAGACATCCACGAGCTTTCTCAGCTCATCCTTCCCCACAGATATGCCTCCGTTCTTCTCCATGCTGACGATCTTCGTCTTCTGAGGTGCTTTTCGATCTTGGTCAACGACTATACATATCCGCTCCTGACACAAGTTCTCTTCAAATCCATCGGGATCGGCCAGGATCCATCTCTTCGGTTTTGTGCCCTTCTTTTCTCTTTCCTTTTCCTCATCCGCGTCAGGAATGACGACGGCCCTCCAGTTCGCTGCCGCGTCCGCTTCAAAAACACAGTACGAGCTGGCGATGGGCATTCCTCGCAGAGTCAGCCTCTTCGCCTCTGATACCTCGTCTGAGCACAGAATCATATCATTATCTGCATCCCACCATGCCTTGGGCAGCCTCGTATCCCGCAACGCCGCTACCACAGCCGCCCAGGCGGCGTCGAAGGGGTTTCCAGCGAGAGAGATAATCAGGACATCGATGTAGAGGACCCAGAAACCCTTGATTTCTGGAGGTGGTGCTCCGGAGACGCGCTCCTCTGCTTCTTCGGTATCCATCCGTTCGTCGCCTGCCTTTTCGCGCTCTATGGCGGAAAGATCCGGCGGGTGGTACCAAATGCGTAGGTCCTCTGCACGGACGAGACGCGAGGTATGTAGCAGGGAGAGAATCTGGTGTGAGAGGGACTGTGCGAGAGCGGACGGCGGAGCACCGGGTATGAATCCCGGCGCGCACCCCGTACTCAACGAGAGATTCGGTACCAGGAGATTGAGATCTCGAATTTGGCTGTCATCGTCGTCGTCATCGTCATCATCACTCGCTGTCCCGGTTTTCCTCCGTTTCCTCGCACCAGAGGACAACGATACCCCCCACGAGGCAATATCTTCCGTATGTAGGATTTCCGCCCGCACGCCGCAGACTGCGGCCGTATCGCCAATTCTGACCACCGCACTGCCGTTCGTATGCGTCAGGGAGCCAGCATTTGCGGATGTGACACGGAATTCCAGCGGCGATCGCCCGTTAGCCCGGATCGATGGTTGGTTGCTCGAGGGAGGAGGGGACAAGTGCGCGAGAAGGTAGGCGTGAGGTTGAAGTCGAGCGAACTGCGACGGGGGAAGAGAGAGCGAGGGGGGAGAGGGAGCGGCTGTTGACGGATTTGTTGGGGCTGTAGTCGCAGCGCCGCCTTGTGCAGCTGGCGCCATGATTTCAATTTCAGAGTTGAGAAGTTCGAGTCTCAATGGTCGTAGGCAACTGGCGCTTTGTGGTGGTGGTAGATTTCATGCGGCAGAATAATTTCGATCTCCAAGGCGGTGAGACCGCCAAAGTATGACTACATTTCAAACGGTTCAACATACAGTACTACTTCTAGTGTTAACTACCACCAATTCAACATGAACGGAATGATGGCCTCCTCCCTACTGGCACATTTTTAATGATGTTAACAGCTCTTTGTCTTGGGCTCTAGCCCAATGCTCTTAGGTAAACCCTTCACGACTTGCGAACCCGGTAACTCTATAGTAGCATTGTATAAAGACATCTGGAATACTCCGTATATCAAGGTCCAATATTGAATTGTAATAAAGAGCTCACCTTGAATGGTACCTGACCGTGATTCCATGGCACCATTTGATCGCCTCCGGCTTCCCCATGAAAAATGGCGAAGTGTTTGAAGACCAATGGGACCAGGGAACTCTCCCTACCAGGGCTAAAATGAGATTCTTTTCCTTCGCATTCTTCGGCATCGTGGTCTCGACCTTTGCGAGTCCTCAGACTTCGACGACAACCCGAGCCAAATACAACGATCATCGACGCCGCAACGCATACACCAGAGCTCTTGGAACCAACAGCGAATGGAAACACTACCATGGACGCTTTGTTCCAGTGTCTCTGGGCGCTGACGGATCAGATTATTGGCGAACTCAAGGTCTTCCCCAGCTCAGCTTGAGCAAGCTCGATATCCACATGGAGATCGTTTAGTGGAGGAACCCTGACAAGTGGGTTCCTGACATTGTGGGAATTGGAATCAACGCGAACTTGGTCGCATATTGTATGCTGGAGGTTACAGGCCAGGGTGTTGGACTGAACGCCACCGATATTCTGAACGAGATGTTGATGACGATCGAGGCCACTCCACAGAACGCCAATACCACTGCTGTTCCCGGTCCCTAGACAAACAATTGCGGGCTCTTAGACCATATATCACTAAAGCTCGAGCCTTGATCCCTTGTCGGACGGATTTACGACTTCGACGCAGGCGGCTGGGCTGCACTTTTGTAGGGGACTTCCTGGGTATCTGTTCAGTCAAACGTTGGTACTGAAGGCAAAGTCTGCTGAATATTCCGTGTATGTCAATACTTTCAATCACTATAATTTATTTGGATGAATTCTTCGAGATATCAATTTTGACATCTTGAATCTTCACATAGTGTGAAGCATGCTGGATTGTGTCAGGGAGATGTGAAACATGATAGATGCAATGAAGGAAATCCATTTTGTAGCGACATAGCTAAGACTCAGAGTTAGAGAGTAAATGGAAAGGAAAGTGACGAAGTTGTTGATTTAAAGCGACTTGTCCTTTCCTAATTAGGCAGACCACACGTGGGCTGTCACATGATCTGCAGTAGGGCAAAGTACAGAGTATCCATCATGCATACTTGACTTGATCAATACGCATTGCAAAACAGTGGTCTTCCATAATCTGGAATTGCTCAGCGCCGATACTCTTTTATATTTCCCCGTGTGTGAATGTTCATCGAGTGTCTCAATGGACAACGTGATAGTAACGTTGCCCCGCCTCTACGGAGTAGCGATCGATGAGACGGCGGGAGGGCCGGAGGTTCATGGCAGGCTTTAGAACCTTTAGTCTCCGCGTTCTTGTTTGGCCTTCTCCAATGAAATCTTGCTGTCTTCTCCTAACTCTCGGTCCATAAACCAGTCCTCCACTCAGATGGCTGACCTGCATGTTTCTTCAGCTGTGTCCCGCACGCTACTGCTGAGCTTGGGCCTCTATCACCTGCAGCAGCCGTCTCGTCATCCTTATTCGACAACATCAACGAGTGCAAGGCGGTAATTCGCATTCTCTCATTCGTCCAAACCCTTCCTCGACGCTTTGAATGGCTGAATCCTGGCGCCGATCGACGCAACGGGACTGGTCGCTGTGATTGTTCACTCATCCTGCAGAATGGCCCTGTATCATGAAAGTGCAGTCGCCGTGCTAAACGCAAATATCCTCTGTCTCGCCGTCAAAAGAGACAGGAGCCGACCAATATGGGCTGTTTGTCGGCGAGTGTACCATTTTGACGCGCAGCCACTTCTGCCCTGAGGCCTGGCAGCTGTATCACACCATTCGCCAGCTATCCATGTCGAGTCCTCTGATCACGTACCAAAATAGTTACACACTTCGAGTATCCACCGTTCGTGGGTTAGGTAGTCTGCATGGCATGTTCGGATAACAACCCGGTTAGCCGTCTAAAAAGCGCCGGGAGATCTGATGAAGGGAGCTGTCTGGACCCAGAATGCCTGCTACAACGATCCAAGCTCCCCCGCTCGCAAAGTACAATTACGCAAGCAATCCCAGGAGGCAGGACATTCGTCCGTTTCCGCTTGTGTTGCGTCGTTCTCCAACATGAGTCTCATGTCTCTTCACCCTCGTTTACGGCGACAATCAGAAGCGTTCTAAAACAACACAACTGTGAAGCGCGAGCCCTCCTGCGGTTATTAATTCGCGTCTGTCGCATCCGTAGGTAGATGCTCCTGAGAGCAGTTGGAAGTTCTATCTTCTGCCTGCACCTTTCGCCAATTCGTCACTTCTTCCTCTGAAATCTTAATAAGGTTTGGACCATATATTGTCGGACGAGGGCAAAGATCTAGGCTCGACCACGACCTTGTTACCGCGCTTTGAATAAGCACACATCGACGCATGCACGATTCAATGACGTGACAAAAACGGCACCCGGTGATGTGATAACGAGGTATCCCGACAGTGGAAAGCTTCCAACCTAGCTAATACAAATCCACAAAACCCCCACAGGCCGTTTTTGATTTTCTTCTTCCTCCAGGGTCGTCAAGATGGCCGCCAATATATACGATTCACTTGTTTCGCTGGCGAAACGCATCAATGTCCCGATTACCGCCTCAACCACACCCCAAGACCTTGCTGAAATGCAAGAAGATCCTTGGTCCCAGTCCGGAAAATATGCCCTAAGTTGGGTCTATTTCTCCGTTGTCCTGCTGGTTATTACCTTTATCATTCGCGTATACAATGTTTGGGGTGACAGAATACGGATTGCTTTATACAAGGAGTCGGCTGTGAAATCGCCTTACGACGCACCGTCTGGTTCAGAGCAAGAGCTCTCAAGCGCCGCTACTGATAGTTCTACCAAGCAATTCTTCCCAGCTCAGGGCCCGCTGCCGCCGCCGCACCCGCAGCAGTCATCGATCTCCGCGATCGCACCCCTGAACAACACTATTGCCTTCTTCCGGTGGATCTTCTACAGACCAATTCCCGTGATCAGGATCTGGAAAATTGAGATTGTCTTCCCGTCGCTGGGAGTGACGGCGCTGGTGCTCGCTGCACTAATTTTCGTTACCCTCTATTGTTTCCTTCCTCGGCCGTTGTACTATTCGAGTATCGCCTTGGGGTCTCCACCGTTGGCCATCCGAGCCGGCATGATAGCTGTGTCTATGGTGCCGTGGATAGTGGCATTGGGAACAAAGCCCAATTTGGTGAGCATGGTGACTGGGATTGGCCCAGAACGACTCAACGTCCTCCATCGATGGCTGGGTTACCTCTGTCTCTACCTCAGCCTCATCCACATGATCCTTTTTTCGTCACGCCCGTGTGGACAGATGGCGCTCTTCCCATCTTTCAGATGTACCTCCCAAACAACATCTATATTTACGGTACAGGGATAGCAGCATTCGCGCCTTTGGCATTCCTATGTGTTCACTCGCTTCCGTTCCTGCGTAACTGGGCGTATGAGCTTTTCGCATATGTGCATGCGCCAGTAGCCGCCATATTCCTAGCCCTGCTCATCTGGCATTGCAAGAGCTTCCTGTCGACGGGAAACTATGTCTATGCAACGATCGCCGTTTGGGTTTTCTGTTATTTTATTCGCCTCTTCTATCTCAACTGGTCCAATCCTTTGCGACTTTCTTGGCTGATTGGAGAGGAGTCGGCAGTGACGATACTGCCAGAAAATGCGGTCAAAGTGACTATCCCGACGCAGATGAGGTGGAGACCCGGCCAATATGTTTACCTGCGAATGCCGGGCATTTCTCCTTTGGAGAATCACCCTTTTACCATCGCCTCGCTCTGCAGTGATGATTTCCCGTCGAGCTACGGTCCAGAATACAGAGACATGGCACTTGTGTTCCGACCATTTGGCGGCTTCACGCGCAAGGTGCTGGAGACGGCGCGGAGGAAGGGTCCTTTCAAGATCTATCGAGCTTTTCTAGATGGGCCTTACGGAGGCATGCAGCGAGAATTGGCGGCATTTAACGATGTCGTCTTTTTCGCTGGAGGAAGCGGCATCACGGCGATTGCGAGCCAGCTTCTCAATTTGATCAAGAGAATGCGAGACGGCAAGGCAGTTACGAAGAACGTGCATGTGATCTGGGCATTGAAGCGTCCGGAGACGATGGAATGGTTCAAGGAGGAGCTGAGGATCTGCCGAGAATTCGCACCGCCGAATTCCGTCCATTGCCAGTTCTTCCTCACTGGCGTGGACAAGTCTCAGGCTGCGGCGGTGGTCAACGAAGCCAACGAGATATTGCAGGGGGTCCCCGGCAAGCGAAATTCGGCGTGGATCCGAGAGGAAGCTGCCGGTGACCAAGAGCGGGAGAAGGAGCTGAGACGGGAAAACGAGGATGCCATCACAGAGCTTCCGCAGGCTTATATGATGCCGGGCGCGGGGCCAAGTCGTTATTACTATCCTTCTCCTTATTATCCTTCCTCTCCTTATTATTATCACCACCAGCCCCATCCAGACCCATACGCTACAGCGCAGCCGATCCACCACGGTTTCGACTTTGGCTTTCCATCTAGCCCTATGATGACCCGGAACACGCTGACACGGTTCGCGTATCTTCCACGACAGAAGCAGGAGGGCTGGCGGACCGAGTATGGCCGACCTAACATTACGCAGATGCTGCGCGAATTCTCCAAGAGTTTTGGACGGCGGACATGCGTCTTTGTCTGCGGACCACCGAGCATGAGAGTCGAAGTCGCCAATACGGTCGCTCGACTGCAGCAGCTAGTCATGACGGACTCGTCCAAAGACGAGATTTTCCTCCATGCGGAGAATTACGCGATTTGATCTGCTAGTCTTCACGATTTTCCTATTTCTATTTCTATCTCATTTCCGGATATATCATGTTAGGATCTCTCACAATCGGCTTAATTGGCTTAGCGCGGGTCTGTTTGTTAGGGTAAGGTGAATAATAATAGCATGGGAAGCATCACAGGGACGGCGCATGGTGGATGTAGAATTTCTCAATTGTCCTTTTTCTTTTTCTTTGTTTATTTGCCTTTTTTTTTTCCCCCAGATCCACTGGTAGAGTCTTCTCTCTCTCTTACTCTCTCTCTATGCGATACGATACCCCTCGAAAACAACTTTCTCATGAACTATACCGCGAGAATTTCTTTTTTTCTTGTCCCTCTTACGAAGTCTGTGCATTATTATTGTCCCAATGACTCACTTGATTTTTATTCACGTGTGTAGTCGCAGAACACAAAGCGTGAGCTCAGTATAGTCAATTCAATTCAATTCAATTCAATGTAAAGCTCTGATAGATCAAATCAAATCATTCCATTCCATTACCAAATGCTGATATTCATATATTCATCCAGCACCGTGTCTAGTCAAGTCTACCTAAGCCTATAAACTCATCATGCACGGGAAGTAGACCACCAGATTATGCAAAATGCTGTTTCGGGCAATGCAAACATCGAGACTGCAAGGAGGGGAATTTGCTTGGGAGGTTATGCGGGTGTAATGAATATCAGAGAACCAACTAGGGATATGCATATGTGTGTGCTGTTTGTTCATACTTCACTGGGCAGGGAGCCAAGTCACGGTCAGAGGCAACTCACGACTGCAACTCCTCGTCTGCCTCGCGTTTCCGTTTAGTAGCTGTTGTTGATGATGTTGCTGCAGGTCCTTCGTCGCTGCTGTCGAACGTACGACTGTCAGCGAGGTGCTCGACGCCATGCTCGTCTGGGTCGTCATCTTCTGCTTCCACTTTCTCCCAGTCGTCATCGTCATCATCATCATTCTCCTGATCTTTCGTCTCACTCTCTGTCTTTCCAGTCTCAGGCGGCTGCTGCTGCTGCTGCTCTTCGTCATCATCATCCCAATGCAGGTCCATTCTGACAATCCTGGCCCCGCCAGGGTTGAGTCGTCGGTAATATCCCTGCACAACACCCTCCTCGATGCGAAATCCACGCGCGACATACCATCTCAGCCCTTCGTCGTTCGTCTCGTGCACGTGGGCAGTGACGGTGCGGATGTTGTAGTGTCTCACGAGGGGAGAGACACGATATGGGTCAGAAGCAGAAGATCGTTTTGGAGGGCTGGAGTACAGAAGTGAATTGAGAAGAGAAGCGGCCACACCGTTTCCGCGGTGTGGAGAAAGGAGATGCAGGGTCTGTATGTAGAGGTTCGTGGGCGGGTTCTTCTCTTTCGTCGTATCCTCTGACTTGACACTCTCCGCAGGGAGTCGTTCCAGCCGACATCTGATGCCCCCGATGACCTTGTCTGTGCCCACACCTCCTGCTGACCCTGACCTTGCACGTCCTCCAAATGTGGGCTCGACAGAGCCCGGCTCGGGTGCTGTAGTCACCGGATGGTCATGGTACACTGCGACACGCGAGATAGAAGCAATAACCGGATCTGTTATGCAAGCCGTGTAGAAGGAGCTAGGATAGCGGATGGGAAGAAGCAGGCCCGTTATGCGACTGAGGGAGGGGATATGAGCCGTGCGGACAGGGTCGATGGTGATGTGCGGATGCGGAGTAGGATAGCTGGGGGGATTCGACTCGGGGTATGGCGTCGGCTGGAAATTTGGGTCTGCCAAGGCAGGCGGTTTATTTGAAGGAGACGAGGAGGCTGCAGACTGCGGTAGGACCAGAGGAGGAGGGTGGATGGGAGGCCGGTTGGAAGAAGACCCCGAAGGAGGGGAACGGGGTGGGGAGGCGGCCGTTGTCCGGGGATGCTGCGCCTGCGACTTTGCGAAAAACTGGTAGGCCATAGCAGAAGCGCAGAGTGCTGGACTTCAGAGTAGCTGCATTCACAACGGATCCCCGTGGTCTGGTGTCGTAGAGGCTATATACGGAGGAACAGGCCTGGTGGGTGAATCAGGCCGCCGCAAACAGCGCGGGCCGGCGCGCGACGCGGGCGGATGCGGAGAATGCGATCCCCTCGATTCATTCACCTGCTAGTCTTAGCTAGCGAGAGATAAGATAAGATCGGCCCGGAAAATGTTAGTGACTGCGGACTTGGCTGGCGTCCGGAGAGTCACTGCGAGCTAAACTCCGGAGCAATTCCCGCCGGAGGAGCATTGATGACGGACTCCCGGGGCATCAACACACTCGTCGTGGTGATAGCATCTCCTGGAGACGCAGATTCAGTTCCGATTTCCTACGGGGCCAGCCTGGTGGTGCTGAGGCGTCTCCACTGACGCTTGTCAGGTTGGTCTCCTCTGCCAGCGAAGTCCTTTCATCCGCATTGGGCTGACGTGCCTGGACTTGCGGAGTCCTCCACATGCCACCTCGCTTCCTTTCTACTGTGAATTCCAACTGACCACTCGTCCAAGCTGTTCTGCAGAAAGCGTTTCTATTGTCTTTTCGTTTGAAATCCCTTTCAACCGGTATTGTTGTTCCCTCGAGCTCCTCTCGTACTAGTTTGGACCTCCGATCTCGATCGAAACAGCTACAAAGCGTCGCCCGATCCTCTCTCCCTACGGAACAAAACTCACCGAAATTCAGACGGGCCAATAGAGTCAATCGCATGGAAGGGAGGTCGTCGATTGGATGGTGCAATAAATGAGTGAGAGCGGGACGCGGCAAGTCTCTTGCTGCTGAGTGTGTTGATCGATTCGAGGTGGGTTGTGCGTCTTCACTACTCACACGCCCAGCCTCCCATTATTTTCGTCCCATTGTTTCGTTCCTGTTGATATCGCACAGAGGTGTCAAAGAGAAATTTTGCATTTCTTTTCCTTCCTTCCCCCAACTTCAGATGATACTCTCTTACTACTACCACAGCTGTGTCGCAACTTTTACCTTCCATGCCATCTTGTTATTGAGACTCAATTCGACACCGAGTTTTCTTTGTTGATACTGGGAAGACGTTCTGACATGGAGACAGCAGTCGTAGGAGGATCGGACATGGCTGGACCAGAATCTCCGGAGACGACTACAGGAGGCTCTCAGCCTCTTCCTGCAGGCACGATAGCGAAGTTGGTAGGTTTCCTGCACCCCTGCAATCGATATGCGAAATGGAATGAGGCTGACAGTTCTAGACGAGCGACATCCTCAATGACACCTTTTACAATATCATTCACGACATCGTCGCCAAAGTTCACCGCGATGAGAAGATTGCTCGTATGCGATCGGCCGTCATCGTCGCCAGACAAAAGGCTGAGGAAGAGATGGCTCGAATTCGCGAAAGTGAAGGAGGAAACAAGGCGACGAAGCCCGGAGACGCTGACTCAGTTGACAATCCGGAGAACAAGATCAGGGTCGAGACGGATGCCGCAATCTTCGATTGTGGAAAAGTCTATCTCAAGGGCAATCCCCTTGTCACGACAAAGGAAATCATCTGTCCACACTGTCGGTTGCCACGTCTTCTATACCCTACCACTGGAATAGGTGCTCGCCCCCCTCCGGATCCATACCGTGAATACTGTCAGAAACACCCTCCGATAATCAAACCGGGACACGATATTCATGGCAACCCGTTTGCGACGGACAAGTTGCAGACGAAGAAAAAGAAGCAGACCGCGAATAATACGAATTCAAACACGCCAGTCTCGAGCCCGCCGTCCACTCCGGACGTTTCCGCCAGTGGTTCATTCAAACAAACTGCACCGCAGCAAATAACATTTCCCACGGTCAAATGCCCGAATTGTCCGCGCTACTTTGTCGTCAATAGAGTGGCTCAGCATCTTGATCGGTGCTTGGGCTTTTCAAGTAGAGGTGCAGGACGCAATCGGACTCCGCAAGAGAACGCTTCCAATACGTCCAATGCCTCTGCGCCGCCCAAACGACCACGGGCTGACGACGATCAGCCTGCCAGTCAAAAGAAGAAGAAACCTAACACTCCCAAGAAGGCGTCTGGTCAGAAGCCTGCAGCTCCCAGTAAATTGAAGAACGGGACCACTCCGGACATGGCAGCGGCCGAGTCTGCGGAACCGTCAAAGGCGCCCTCCGACGATGGGGAGATCAAAGTCGAGCCCAACGGGGTTTAGCTGTCTTTTTTCTTTCCTGACTTTCATCAACATGAACAAGAAGGAATTGATTATCGTCCGTCACCAATTTCCATGTCACAACAATTTTTGTCTCTCTCTCACTATCTCTCACCGGGATTGTCATGACCATTATCATCATCATTACTACTACTACCATTCTGTGATGACCACTGGGGATTATTATTGTCGATTCAGCGTTCATCAAGGCGTCAATGGGGGAGAAACTTCATACCAGCCTGTTATGCCTTTTGTCTTTGATTTTAGGTTGGGGCATGTCCTTTTTTCTTCTTTTTCTCTTTGCACTTGGTTACTACTGACCTTTTTTTTCCTGCTTTGGGGTGACTGGTGCCTTTTTTCTTTTATATGTATGTGTGTATATTAGGGTCATTCACTCTTGGTTTTTCTTTCCCCCTTTGCCCTTTCTGTTAGAGAGGAATGAATGAATAAAACATCTTGCACATCTACAGATACTTGACAGCTAACATGATCGTTGTATGAGCACCGGAATGGCTAGCTGTTCCCGGCCTTACAGGTACATGTATGTAGGATCCTTCGCTCAAATGCTTGAAGAGCAATACAATACATGACCTGTGCTTTCGTAGTCTTCATTATCTACTTTCCCGGCGGGCTTCCTGAAAATATTCCTTGCTATAAAAAGAATAGAAGAAAAGTGAAGCTCGATACTATACTGCCGGTATAACGTAACACACCGTCTTCTCCACTGCCCATGGCCCTGTGTCAATTCAGTTCAATTCACTCGTCTTGCGTCACATCCCTTAATATAGGTAGGAGCCTTCGTCATTGAAGAATTTCCAATTAGGAGTTGAAAACAAGAAGCCAAAATGCCAAAGTTGGCGTGATTTTTTTTCCCAGTATACAGGATTCAAGCTTCTGTATATATAGAAGAGACACGGAGAGAGGTATGAAATGACAAAAAAAAATGAAAGATGAAGAAAAAGGGAGATAAAGAGCAATATCAAATTATACGTGTGAACATACATGTATTGTTATTGACACTGTCAAGCACTTCCTTTCGTAACGGGCGTCAGATACACATTCAACGGACCCTTCTCCCACATGAGAAAGTTGCGCTGCTTCTGCACCCAGTCCAGACTGTCCTCGGCGATCCTTAGATCGAAGTTGTAAATCACGCGGGCTAATATGAGTCTCATTTCCGTATAAGCCAGACTATAAAGCTCTGGTTAGTGACATGACAACTTTCTAGAAGAAAAGGATATATGTAAACACTCACTTCCTTCCAAGACAATTGCGCGGACCGACGTGGAATGGCTGCAGCGCCTCCCGCTTATCGTTGGCGAAGCGCGAATCTCCCAGCCATCGCTCTGGGTGGTAGTGGTTTGGATCGGTGAAGTACTCTTCCCGGCGATATAGAGCCCATTGGTGGATTGCGACGATGGTCTGAATTTCCATTTTCCATGTCTTGTGTTAGTGATTTCTCAATCTAAATATATGCAACAAACGCGCTGTGTCTTATCGCGGCAGACCTACGTTTTCCGGCACATATGTCCCAATGATGTTGGCACCTCCCTTGGGAACGACGCGAGGGAGACCGTTCGCAATGGGCGGATACATTCGCAGGCCCTCGTCGAGGCAGGCGAGCATATATGTCAGTTTGTTGACGGAAACGATGTTGATTTCGTCTTCGCTCTTGAATGCTGAGCGGACCTCCGCCGTCAACTTCTGCAGTTTGTCTGGGTTCGTCAGGAGGTAATAAGTAACGCCACTTAAAAGCGTCGCCGTGGTCTCGCTTCCGCCTATTATAAGAATCTCGCTATTTGCGATCAATTTCTCCAGGCTCATGTTCTGGGCCAGTCAGTCATATCTTTGGCATGGAATGATGGTGGTTGGGATAGCGGGTCGGTGCACAGTTCAAACGACTCACCCACTCATCCTTCTTTTTCAGGAGACCTTCAATCAAGTCGGGACGCTCCTTGTCACCCTCTATTCGCCTCAACAGTTTAGCTTTGGTGAGCCGCATGTGTTGTTCGCGGTGTTCTTTGGCAGACTTGGGAGCCATTTTCAGCAGAAACCGCTTCAGCCTCGGGTAAAATGCAAGAGACTGCAGTATCGTGCCGAGACGCCCAGAGTCGAAGATCATGCGAATCCACGAATGATACTCGGAATTCTTTAGGCAACCGAATGGCTCACCGAATGCCAGGTCGCCGATGATATCGAAGGTGGTATAGTTGTACCAGGCCGTGAGGTTGAGTGGCTTAGCTCCCCCAGCGCAGTTCTCGTGAAGCCGCTGGATGAGCAAGTCGATATACTGCGCGATCAGAGGCTCCTGATCCCTCATCGACTTCTCGGAGAAACCGTGGGACAGTTGACGACGGAGACGGCTGTGCTCTTCGCGCTCTTCGTTGACGATATGAGTGGGGTCGTCTTCGATGGGACGGTAGAAGTACATGGCCTTGCCCATCTCCTCTCCAGATTTCCGATTGCCCATGATGTCCTTCCAGGCATCGGGGTGTGAAATGGCCAGTTCGTCCGGTGCAATGCGAACGATGTCCCCATATTTCTGGTGAAGTCCCAACATGTCAAACGGCAGGGTCCCGTTGATCAGTCGATAGCAGTAGGGGATCCTCGACACGGCAAATGAAATAGGACCGGGGAATCGACTCAACGGGTGGAAGAAGACATTGTATATTGCCCTGCCCACCAGATAGAGGATCGTCTGCAGTAAATGATGTGTGAGTAGGAAGTTGCAATGCTCACTATCACTCAATAGGATCAGCGACCTACAATGAGAAATCCGGTGGCCACAGCATCTTTGAGAGCGTTCAGCACTATCTTTGAACTGGGTTGTTGCAAAGACATTGTTCAGCAGGACCTATGCCCCAACGAAGATGGGTCAAGAGAAATAATTAATCCTCGCACTGCTCTGCAAAAACGGTAGAGGTCTGAAGGTCAAAGAAGGAATGGAGTATGAAAGAACGACATCATGGTGTCACAGCAGATATCTTTGTTTATATGCAATGCTCCATTCGCTGATCGTATCTATAACCTGAACGGGTCAAAGATGCACTCAAGTTTCACCCTCCTGGGATCTCGATATGTGTGGAGAACAGACACTGGCGCGGTCGAGCATCGGTCCTGGCCATTGAGAGCTACCGAAAAGCATCTGACTCACGGAGCCTAATATCGAAAGTCGTCGAGGTTGGCTGTTTCGTGCATTTCGGATTCGGATAAAAACGCTGCCGGACGTTATGAACTGCGGAGGAACCTACCTGCCCAGTTAGGCAGTTGGCAAGAAACACAACAGTCGAATCAGCTGTTTAGCTAACTTGAAACTCGAGCATGCATTAAAGACTAGAAAGGTGGCAGGATGGTCAGCCATATTTGTTCAGTCTCATCAACGCATCATCCTCAACTTCCGGTATTATATTATCAAGGCCCGCAAAAAAAATAATGCAGGGTATAAACGGAGCGCGGAATGGTGAGTTTCCACGTTCCTGCAATGACCTCATGCCATATCCGAATACGAACCCGAACACGAGTTCGAAGAAGACCCGAAGTATTCTTCATGGCAACTGAACCGTGACCGCAAGAAGCTCTGCCTGTGCACAGTGCGCACCGTATCTTGCCCATTGGCGGGGTTTTTGTGCTGAAGATCACTGCTATTGGTGAGAAGACCAGCGGTTTATATCGCCATCATGGATCACGGCTTGCATATCTTCGCTAGCCCCCAATCGATCGCTTTCGCTTTCTTGCTGAGGTTGCATAAATGCGTTCACAAAATACTCTCCGGATGAGAATCAAACCGAATGCTCGAGCATGTTTCCATTTGTTTGTTTCTTTCTTTTTTGTCTAGGATTCCTGGCTATAATAATTGAGATCCCAGAGGATAGGACTTGTTCAGGGGTCCACGCAGGCCTTTCGAAATAAATGAGTTTTGATCGTTGCGTCGATCACATCTTACCCGTTTGCCAGGAGTATCATTTAAATCATAATCAAGACCCATGAGTGATGCAGGTCTCGCCGACAAGAAGCCTCTCGACGAGGAAGCCCAGGTAGGGACGTCGAACGACGAGTCTCTCCATGACAGCCTTCAGGGGAAAAAGAATGACTCTCCAGAACCCGAAGGCGAAGAGAAGAGCCCAGAGAATGGCTCGAAGTCCGAATTCGAGGTGTGGTGGGATGAACCAGCAGACCAAGATCCCGCGAATCCCATGAACTGGAGCAATGTGCGCAAATGGACCATCATCGCCACGGTCTCGTTCATCACGTTTCTCACGTCAGTAATGCTCCCGCCATATCACAGTCGTTGCTTTGTGCGCCGTCTAATTGGTACAATTTATAGGCCCCTCGCGTCGTCCATGTTCGCTCTTGGCGTCCCTGAGGTCATGAGGGATTTCGGCTCCAGCTCCGATGTGCTGGCGAGTTTCGTCGTCTCCGTCTTCGTCCTAGGATTCGCCTTTGGTCCTCTCATCATCGCGCCGCTCAGCGAGTACGGTGGTCGCGTGGTCGTCTACAACACATGCAACGTCCTCTTCCTCGTTTTTACCATCCTCAACGCGGTTGCGAAGAACATGGCGATGCTCATCGTCTTCCGGTTTCTTGCCGGCTTTGCGGGCGTCGCTGCCATCACCTGCGGCAGTGGCACCATTGCGGATTTGATGCCGGCACAGAAGAGGGGCATGGCCATGTCCTTGTGGTCTCTGGGACCATTGTTCGGTCCCATCATTGGACCCGTTGCCGATGGCTTTCTGGTAGAGGCAAAAGGTTGGCGGTGGGTGTTCTGGGTTATCACCATGGCAGTACGTAATGCTCTCTCGAGATTCGTGAAGTGTCCTCAGTTGTTTGTTATGGCGTTGCTGAAGTTCAATTTTCTCTTCTCCCACAGTCCGGTGTCGCCACCATCGTTTGTTTCCTCGTCTTGAGAGAGACATATGCTCCCGTCCTTCTCGAACGAAAGGCTGCCCGACTGAGAAAAGAGACGGGTAATCCGGCTTATCAGTCACGCCTCCATTCCAAGGTCCCCCTAAGGAGCTCTTCCTCCGAAGCATTCTACGACCTACGAAAATGCTGATTCTGTCTCCCATCGTCTTCCTCATGTGCCTCTATATCGCGATCTTGTACGGCCTTCTCTACATCCTGTTCACGACCTACACGTTCGTCTTCGAGGGTCAATACGGATTCTCTGCGGGCACCGCCGGATTGGCGTTCTTGGGCAGTGGCGTCGGTATGTTACTGGGCCTGACGTACGTCGCGAATCTGAGCGACAAGGCGATTCGAAGGAAGATCCAGCAGCAGCAGAAACCCAAACCGGAGGACCGACTACCGCTCTACCTCGTTCTCCCGGGAAGCCTCAGCATCCCTGCGGGGCTCTTTATCTACGGATGGGGCGCGGACAAGCATGTCCACTGGATCGTGCCCCAGATCGGAAACGCAGTGACGGGATTCGGCATGATCACTATCCTGATGTGCATTCAGACGTACCTGGTGGACGCCTTCACGGTGCACGCTGCCAGCGCGACCGCCGCAAATACTGTCCTAAGGAGTCTTCTGGGCGCCCTTCTCCCGCTCTGTGGGCTGGATATGTACAATGCACTGGGGCTGGGTTGGGGGAACAGTCTGCTGGGCTTTATCGCCCTCGGGATTGCGCCGATTCCAGTGCTTTTCGGCGTGCTTGGGGAGCGTCTTCGGACACATCCCCGGTTCCAGGTGCAGTTTTAGTCGCCTTTAGGTACCTAGATATATGTAGATATTCTAGTCAGAAAACTAATTGCTTTTGTATAGTCCGTAATCATTGGTCGTAATTAGGAAGTGTATAGCAAGATATACACCATATGGGCAGGAAGCTCATCTAGACGAATCTTCATTAAAAAAAAACTATATAATGTATTTCTGGAGGCAAAAAAAACCTAGCATAATCTTTTTTTACTTCAAGCCAGTCGAGCAAAGCAACAAGTTTGTTTTCGGGTCTCTGCTTTACTCCGTAATTGTCGAGAGTAAATCGGTGGCGCTAAACCAGATGAAGCACCCCGACAACCCGCCGGGCTGTGCGGAGTATTACTTCAGATGTGCTCTCGCAATAACATCAAGTACATATGTACTGTACCTCACATTTAACAGCCGCCTATTCCTCATACAAGAGAGCTACCTTTGAGAGCCGATTCTGGCTCTTTTCTCACGCTCTCGTTTCCAGCTCTCCGGCTGACCTGCACCATGTCCGCCGACCTCGTCGCGTGGGCCGTCCCCACCCTCTCCAAGCTCCTCCCTCTCGATGACGAATCTCTCAAACAAATTGTTACCTATTCAGCCGGTCTCTCGAAAGAAGCCGCCGCAGAACACCTCAAAAATCTCCTAGGAGATTCTCCCGCAGCCCTCGAGTTTATTGCATCGTTCAACTCACGCCGATGTGGTGATCCATCATCTACCCCGCAGTCCGGTAGTGCGTCACCAAGGACGACGACGGATGGCGAGAACAGCCGGAGCAGACAGAATGAGAACAAGAATCAGCAGAAAAAGAACAAAAGGACAAAGGCGCCGCTGCACAGTGCTGGGCCTCCTCGAAGACCGGAGAATTACGGTAACGTGGAGGGAGCGTATATGAAGGCGGACAAGGAAGAGGACTACATTCCAGGGACAACTTCAAAGGCACACCGCGACACCGCTGGAGGAACGGGAAGTAGTACATCTCTCTCGGATGTCCCGTCATTGTCAACGAAGCCTGAAGCTTTGCTACGCCCGCGGACTACGGATTCTCCCTCTGACTCTTCGCCCGCCACTTCGCGAAACCCGTCTCCTGCTCCCAAGACCAAGGCGCCACCATCTGCAGCCGGACCTTTGATCTCGGATTACCTGCCAAATGTGAAATCCAAGGCGGCCAAATCATCACGGCATGCTACTTCCGGCACATCGAGTCCGTCGAAACAGTCTGTCACGACGAATAACATTGCCGATCTGACTGCGGCAATTGCTGCTCTTGAGATGTCCACTAATCCGACATCCGCCAAAAATCGGCAGACCTGCAACTGCAACGCATCGATACATCCGCTGTTCACGCCTGCGCCAAATTGTCTTAACTGTGGGAAGATTATCTGCTCCCTGGAAGGTCTCCAGCCATGCTCGTTCTGTGGTGCTCCCCTTTTATCCAGTTCAGAAGTCCAGAGCATGATCAAGGAATTGCGGGCTGAGCGCGGACAAGAGAAGATGCGAGCGCATAACGAGAGCGTACATCACAGTGGAGGCCCAGGACTCGCAGCTGACAGTAAACTCGAAGCTGCCATCGCTCATCGAGACAAGCTCCTTTCCTTTCAGGCTCAGAATGCGCAGCGCACCCGCGTTGTGGATGAGGCGGCAGACTTTGAGACCCCCAACGTAGCATCCACGCAATGGATGACACCCGCACAACGGGCGCTTGCGCTGAAGAAGCAGCAGCGGATCCTCAGGGAGATGCAGGAAAAAGCGCGGCCAGAATGGGAGAAGAAGAAGACCGTTATGAGTCTGGACATCAAGGACGGACGAGTCGTCCGGACCTACCAGTCTGCTCCTGCAGAGTCCGCCGAAGACGTAGATGGTGCAGAGGAAGAGGATCTCGATGCCGCGATTTCTGCTGCAGGAGAAGAGAGTACTAGCAACGGCGGTTCAGCACTCAGTAAGAACCCCCTTCTGTCGAGCGGTGGGCTGGTACGGCCTGTATGGAAGGGCGCTGCCAATGCCAAGGGCACCGATCGAGCAGCACGGAGATCCAAGCAGACGTGGCGACGGGTGCAGGACGACAATGACGATAATGAGCAGTGGATCTTGGATGGAGGTCTATATGGATACGACAATGAGACCACGTGACCTGGCCTTAAGCGACGATTTAGGAAGCTTTCTATCTGCCTGTTTAACCACAGGCTGCCGCAAACCGGTGTTGGAAGATAGTCCTGTGACATTTTGACCGTCAAACTTACGTCTCGCTGTAAATCTCGGAAGGATGGACTATCATCAGGACCTGGAGACTCCGTCGTCCTCTTGTCTAGAGGTCCGATTCAGTACGTGATCACCGCCTCCGTGGATCACTCATAACCTGATAAATAGATGTGGTCTGATTGGCGGCATAATACACGTAAAGTTCCATTAGAGCTATTCTCTGAGGAAGTTCACTACCGTTCCCTGCAGTGTTGCTGCAGATCTGATCCAGGCGGTGGAATACTTCATACAGCACCGAGGGAAATGATTTCAGCCCGGAATCGCAATCTTCAGAAAATTTCTCGACTGGCTGTTTCTATTCCTCAAGCTTGGGCTCTCAACTCGTAGCTCGCCACGCACTCCGCATCTCAACCCCAGACAGAGTACATAGCTCGAAGCGGTAGGTTTGCGCCTATGAGGTTGCCTCCTATCGAAGTGGGAATTCCCCGATAAGAGCTATTATTAAATAATATTGTCCATCGTTATAGGCTGGTAATGAGATGCAACGCAGCACCATGAGCACTACTGTACCTAGATAGTTAGGAAGGCTGAATATACAAAACTGCCGCGGGTAACCGAGCATGGGAGGGATATATAGATCGCCACGAACCCCCCAGGACAAACGCATGCACCAGGACTATAGCAACTCTTGCGCAAGCTATGCTCTTATGAATTCTCTCTTGTCGGTCGCAGACCTAGCCTGATAGATCTGCGGGGGTTGGCTGATTCACCAACGTCATTGTCCTGTTCAGCTCGGTTGACGCCGGCTATCCTCGGCGCTGTGGTTATCGAGGGATATCATATCGCTATCATCGGCAAAGTCTAGAAACAGCCTGAGAATGCTTGTCGTTCAGGTGTCGTCAGTGCGGCTGGCGGCGGGATTCGGGGTAGTTTTTGTGGTTGCTGTATGTCATCCCTCTCCACTTTCATCTGGTCATCTTGGGGCATCTATCACGCGGGGAATGGGGAACACATAATGCTCCATCAGCACTAGACAGTACCTAACTACCTGGCAAGTGCTTACTTTTCTGATCCATTGCAGATCATTGGCTATGTGTTGTACAACCGATTCTTCCACCCCTTGAGGCGGATACCAGGCCCGTTCCTCGCGACGGTGACCCCCTGGGTGCAGCTCTACCACGGCCTCAAGGGCGACCGGCACCTGTGGCTGCACGATCTCCACCAACAGTACGGCTCGCACGTGCGCGTGGCACCGAATTTCGTCTCCGTCAACACGGTTCAGGGCTTGCATGACATCTACGGCCATGGGAAGCGGCTGAAAAAGGCCGACTTCTACAACGCCTTCCCGGCCATCAAGGGCGTGTACAACACTCACAATGTCATCGATAAGACTGTTCATGGCCGGAAACGGCGCGTACTCAGCCAAGCATTCTCAGATCAGGCGCTAAAGGGCATGGAGGATCTGATGCTACTGCATGTCCGCCAGCTCTGCTCCATCTTTGCTGGGGAGCGATATGGCAAGGATATCAAGCCTGAGCATAGCAGCGGCGGCAAAAAGGGACTGACCGTCAACCTGTCTGACTGGTTTGGTTACCTGACGTACGACGTCATGGGCGAGCTCTGCTTTGGCAAGAGCTTCGACATGCTCATTGATGGTGCGAGGAGAGGCATGATCCATTTGGTCGACAGAGCGGCTTACAGGCATTATGTGGTACGTCTCATCCGCTCACTACGCAAAAACGAAAAGACAGAAAGAAAGATGGAGGGAAATGGGAGAGAAGAAGCTGACGTGAACAGTGCGGATTGTGGATGCCTCTGGACCGCTGGAACCTCGACAAGATCTTCATTCGCAAGCTGACCAATGACCGATGGAACTTCATCATGAAGTCTCGCGTCGAGGCCAACGAACGGGCCAAGGAGCGGGTGCAGGCCGGCCACGGCGCGAAGAAGGACTTTTTCTACTACTTGCTCAACGCCAAGGATCCCGAGACGGGCAAAGGCCTGGCGACGCAGGAGCTGTGGGGGGAGGCGAACGTGCTGATGATCGCAGGCAGCGACACCACCTCGACCAGTCTGGCGGCCACCGTGTTCTATCTCGTTCGCAACCCTCGTGCCATGGAGAAGCTGAAGAAGGAGGTCCGCGGGAGCTTCAAGGACGTGGAGGAGATTGTCAGCGGCACGCAGCTGAATGACCTGGTCTATCTCAAGGCGTGCATCGACGAAGCCATGCGTCTGGCCCCGGCGGTTCCAGGCGCAATTCCCCGGGAAGTGATGGAGGGCGGTGTTGAGGTTGACGGCGTGTACCTCCCTGGAGGCACCGACTGCGGCACACCCACCTTCTCCATCCACCGTCATCCGGACTACTACCGCGAGCCACTAGCCTACGTTCCAGAACGATGGATCGAAGGAGAAAAGTGTCAGACGCCGTCTGACTCATGGATATCAACCAAGGAGGACGTTGAAATCGCCCGTCGCGCGTTCTGCCCGTTCAGCATCGGGCCGCGGGGATGCATCGGCAAGAGCATGGCGTTGATGGAGATGCGGCTGACGCTGGCGAGGATGATATTTTTGTTCGACATCGAGCTGGCCGACAAGACGGGGGAGGATGAGCATGGCCAGTTTGCGATGGTGGACCACTTTGTCGTGTCCAAGACGGGGCCCAATGTCGTTATTCGGAAGAGATCTATGTAACTTACAGATACATTGTAACAATTCATTGGATAAAACGGCAGCGCTGTTATATAAGACAATTCTAGCTTTGATTAATTCATATTTTTCAGGACTCCAATGTTGAAATCATAGTACAGAGTATGTAGATTAGATGCATTTCTGAAAACCCAATGACCTGCCCGATACGATATCGATTATACCCAACCAGGCTAGTTCACCGCAATTGCGCTGTTCCAGTAGCTGCAAACCGTCTCCAGTTGCTTGTTCGATACTAGCGCCAGACTAAACTTTAGGCCACGTTCCAGGCAAGGGGCGCGTCATAATTAATACGGATCGTGTCGATCAGATCGATCAGTAACGATCTCTTATGGTCTTTAATTTCTTTTTCGATCGATGTTTGCTGCTGTCATTTGACTACTGGTCCATTCTACATACAATGATACAGAAACTCCAGATGTTTACTGTGTAGACAAAGAAAGAGAAAGGCCTGTCAAGCCGCCCAACCCAACGTCACTCCCTTGCAGACAGCAGCAGCAATCATCATCATCGTTCCTTACTACAAAGTTCTTTATTTTCTTTTTTTTGTCAGTCGAATCCCGATGCCATCGACAAATCATCATCAATGAGCATCATCTGTCGTCTTTGTGATCGCGATCTGTGACTGTGACTGTGACTGAATTGCATGGTTTGGTCGGACCATGTGGTCGCCCCTGACTGTCACCCTCGTCCAGTCGACCATTCTCAATGCTGTTTCGAATGTGTTGGCGCAGATTATTGATCAGTGGAAGCTTAACGTACGTGGTATTTTTTTCTTTGCTAGGAGTTCCTTGCTTTTCTATCTGAAGAAACAAAAAGAGAGAAGAAATAAGAAAGAAAATATTGTCCTGGTGTAATATTATTTCCCATTGATATCAGCTTAGTGGTTTATTTTTTCTCTTTTTCTTTTCTTTCTTTCTTTTGTTCCGTCAGCCATGTGTTTTCTCTTATCAAACACCTTTTTCCTGAATTGCCCAAGTAATGCTCCGTATACTGGACTGTCCATTGGAAATTCTCGAGCAAACGTTGCAGAATAATTAATTTCATTGACAAATCTCAGCTCACTAACTCACATAGAAACCCTTCAAACTAAACGTCGTCGCCCTGATTCAGTTCGTCACCTATGCCATCATCATCGTCCCCATCAACTTCTCCTGGCAGAGGTACATTGAGGCCCGGTATCCCGGGTTTCCAACGACAGCGGCGTGGAGGAGATGGACCTCGTTTAACAACCGCCATGTCGGTGCCTCTTCTTCATCTCGGGTCGACGATCATGCGATCGTGATCCCGATCTCTGCTGATCACAATCACAATCACAACAACACGAATACCATCCCGATGATGATCAAAGACAAACCCGCCAGCGCGGCAGCAGCGTCTCACAAATGGCGCTCGGCACGAAACTCCCCTTCGTCTTCTTCTGGCATGCGCAACTTCTTGATGAAGTTCTTCCTCGACCAAACCGTTGGATCGGTCATGAACATCATCCTCTTCATCGTGTTGATCAATCTGCTGAAGGGGGCGAGTTTGAGTGTAGTCTGGGAGGCGATTGGGAAGGTATGCACCAATATTACTCGAAACAAGCACAAAAAAAGAACTGGGGTGATGAATATTCACTAACGAATACCACTGATAGGACTTCTACCCCATCATGATCGCCCGCCTCAAGTACCGACCCGTCGTATCGACGCTGATGTACACCATCGTCCCGGTGGACCGGCGAGTCGTTTTCGGGAGTGCTTGCGGCGTGATCTGGGGGATTTATCTCAGTTTGTATGCTGCTGTATAGCGTATGACATGATTCATTCATTTGTTTTAATTTCTTTTTTTTCTTTTTTTTTAAGATTATATTGCATCGTACATCGTATTTCTAGACTTGCAGTTTCCTCATTTTTCCTTTTTTATCGACTCTTCATTCGAACTCTGGGTTTGATACCCCTTCTTATGTGATTTGTTTATACTAGTGGACAGGCAGACAAACAAACTGGTGTTTGTTGGATTCTGATATATTAGACACATTTATGTCAGTACATACCTCAATGGAATGAATGTGGTTATGATCCTGCCACTAACTTATTCTGCCACAGTGGTATTTTGTTGGTTTATTTATAGCATATAACTACAAAAACAACATCTATCTAGAACGTCTATCTAGTTTGGGTTAGCATTCTTCAGGTGCTAACTGCTAAGTACAACTAGAATGCGCTCATCCAAGTTCGCCCGAATGCCGATTCACCAGGTAAATAGATTCGAATCGGACTAATAGTTGGCACTTATTTAGTGAGCTGATCTGGCCGGAGCAAAAATCCCCCGCGTGGAGGTGGAGCGGATGGACCGGGGAATGTCTTCGACCGATTCAGCTCAGCGGCCTCTTCATCCCTCCGGCAGTCTGCTTGATGTATGCAGAGTATACCTAGTGTACAGTACATACAGCTAAGGTATATATACATCAATATGTTGGCCACATACTTTCATTATGCCATTGAGCAACACAGCAATCTGAATTCTGAGCCTAGTCATCCACCATGAGCTACATATACTTCATTCCAGCAGTCTTGTTTGCTGTCTATCTTGTCTCATCCTTGATCAGTGCTTTCCACCACTGGAAGAGAGCACGACAATTGGGCAGTCAAAAACCTGCAAGGAGACGCCAGTCTCTCTTGGGACTGGATATTGTCTTGCGACTGTTCAAGGCGTCCAAAAGACAGAAGCTGCCGGACGAGTTCGTCCGCATCTACGAAGATGACATGCATCACGCCACAACGTGGGAGCAGTCGGTCTTCGGCACTCGAAACTTGGTCACAGTCGATCCGCAGAACATCCAGGCCATTCTCGCCAAGCAGTTCCATGACTTTGGCCTCGGTCCCACGCGACGAGGCAACTTAGGCGTCATGCTCGGGGACGGTATCTTCACAGCCGATGGGAAGCCCTGGTCAGTCGTCTCCCATTCCCATCTGTCATTCTAGCCAGCGTGCTGACCCATCCTAGGGAGCATTCCCGGGCGTTACTCCGACCCCAATTCGCGCGAGACCGCGTCGCAGACCTGCACATTGAGGAAGAACATGCCCAAAACATGTTCCACCATCTCCCCGTCGACGCCGACGGCTGGACATCCCCGATCGATCTCAGTCCGCTCTTCTTCCGCTTCACCATCGACTCCTCCTTCGAGTTTCTCTTTGGCGAAAGCGTTCACTCGCAGAACGCCGCTTTGCCAGACGATTCGCCCGCCAAGCGGCACGTCGAGACACGAGCGGGCATCGACCCTGCCTACGTCGCTCAGTGCTTCGACGGCGCTACCTACACGTTAGGCCAGCGGATCGCCATGGGCGAGTTGTACTGGCTGTTTTCGCCAAAGTCCCTCCGCCAGCAGGTCAAGGTGGTCGAGGAGTTTGCCGATTACTACGTCAAGCGCATCTTGCAAGCCAAGGACAGCGGCGATCTGTTGTCCGCTACGGGGAACGACGGCAAGAAGTATGTCTTTTTGCGGGAACTCGCGAAGAGCACCACGGACCCAATCGAGCTGCGGTCGTCGCTGCTCCATCTGCTCCTTGCCGGGCGCGACACGACGGCCGGTCTGTTGGGGTATGTCTGGTGGAACCTGGCGCGGCATCCAGAAGTGTTCCGCAAGCTTCGCGCCACGATTATCGAGCATTTTGGGACGTACGACAATCCTAGAGAGATCACGTTCGCCGAGCTGAAGAGCTGTGCCTACCTGCAGGCCGTCCTGTCGGAGACACTGCGCCTGTACCCGAGTGTGCCTGTCAACTCGCGCCGCGCTCTGCGGGACACGACCCTTCCGCGGGGAGGCGGACCGGACGGGACGGCACCTGTGTACGTGAAGAAAGGGACGGAAGTCAACTACCAGGTGTACGTGATGCACCGACGAAAGGACCTGTGGGGAGCCGACGCAGCAGAGTGGAAGCCCGAACGATGGGAGGGCAGACGACCCGGCTGGGAGTATCTCCCCTTCAACGGGGGGCCGCGTATTTGCCTGAAACAGCAGTTCGCTCTGACGCAGGCTGGATACGTGACGACGCGGATGTTGCAGCGGTTCGATCGGCTGGTCAGTCTGGATGGTAATTCGGCTGGGGACGGACCGTTGCACAGCGTGGGCTTGACGGCTGCGCCGGCGCAGGTGCTTGTGAAGCTGCATGAGCAGGGGCGAGAAAACTAATACTGAAAGTGGTGCTGAGTAAAAGATCAATGCTAGATATCTTTTCAACATTACTTTCGATATGAGATTGATTATATACGGACACCATTGACATCAGGAATCTAAACCCTAACCATCATCTCACAGAAAACACTAGAATGATAGAATCCACTATTCTCGAACTAGCTGACTTCACTACATAATCCATCTGTCTGTCTATTTCCAAAATTAATTACTCTAATTAATTAATTAATTATTCAGCGCTCAATGGCCGACGGACGAACCACTAGGCCAACTACTTTATGTATGCACCTAGATAAATAAAGGAGGTAATAGGTAATAATAATGATAATGATAACAATGTTATTACTCCGTCGGCCCAATTCATGCTCCTAGTCGGACTAACACAATACAAATATAAAATTTCCATTTTTGGAAAAAAAAGTTGCCCACAAATTTCAATTAGGCACCAGTTTTTCAGTCTATGCCTTTCTATTCATTCATTTACCTAGTGATTTATTTATCTATCTACCTCACTGACACAGACTACCTGCTAATAATATAACAAGTGGCTACAATACTACCTGTTAACGTCGACGCAGCCCAAGATCGTAATCAAGATAGTGATATTCAGCATTCTTTATATTATAACATAACGATAATCAACTTGCAATATTACCCTAGAATAGAAGCCACACAATGATAATCGCAAGAATTGACTGCATAAGATCATAGAGATAATAATCCAGAATATATTCATTTAATTTAACACAGAGAAGTGCTGTTCTGTTCTGTTCTACGTCCTACAATGTTTGAGGAGGAAATGATGTTGAAGGAAAATGATGTTAGAACTGCGGTGATGCGTCGAACCCGACGCAGCTACTATACAAGTCTACTGCCGTAGAACACCATCGGACGCCGAAACTTCATCATATTCATTACATGCTGATGGTGAGATGTCTTACACACCCGTATATGCATGTTTGTAGCTCGTATCAAATACCAAGGCAATTCGCAGACTTGAACTACCCACGCCGTGTTGGAACTCCACGGATAAAATCGCATGATCCCGGTGATAAGCCGAAAAGAAACAAAAAAATAAAGAAGACTACAATAGACCGCACACTGCAATTCCTGCAGGGCATCTCTTCGAGTTCGTAGAGTTCGTCTTTTTCTGCCACGGTGTAGGATCACGTGGCACGAGGAGGAAAAATAGGTAAGCTGCTGTAAGGCAGTGAGAATACACGAAGAGAAAACTCCTCTAGCCCATAGGTAATTCGTTTCAAAAAGTACTGCGAGAGGCCCTCCATCTATATGTCTTCCTTCTTCGCAACCAGCGCGATGAGAGCTGCTCCGACACCACTGCCGTCCTTGGCAATGCCGATGCGGACCTTCTGCTCCTTCTCACCAATCTGCGGGATCTCCCGGAGCGCTTCCCGGATGTAGTCTACAAACTTGGGGTAGAATTCGACCAGGCTGCCGTCCACTCCAATATCGATGACATCATCCGTTTCCAGTCGACCAGATTCGATGAGAATCGCACCAAGTGGAACGGCGCTCAGCCGGGCGGCGCGCTTGCCAATGGCATGCACGAGGGCCTTGATGGCCTGGCGGTCCGCCAAACTGGCATTATCCGCCTTGAGATCTTCCTTGAGCGCGTCCGCGGTAACCTGCAAGTCAGGAGTCTCGTCGGCCTCGACTTTGCTCAGAAAACTGGTGTCGATCCCCCAGATCTTGTACAGATCCGAGTCAGGAGAAATGGAGCTGCCATCCGACTGCAGAAGCTGCACAGCCGGGTCACGATTCAGGGCCAGAATTGCGCGACGCAGGATTTCTCCCAGGAACATCCCGGACACGCGCTTCTCAAACATCTGGACTCCCGGATTGACCGAGTCCGCATCCAGCTCTCGGTCATAGACCGTAGTCGGCAGGACACTGAGATGATTGTCGAAACTGCCCCATTCTGTGTTGACCACCATCTGACCCGTCGACTGGTTGTACGTCGCACCCTTCAGCGGGTCCAACTTGGTCACTCGGCTGAGTTTCTCCACGTAAGCACCGTTGGTACCCGTGCCGAAAATCGCTCCCAGTAAGGTCTCTGTTTTCCCGGGAGAGGTGTACGAGCGCGCCATGAGCGTTCCCACCGTGTCGTTGACCAGCGCTGCCACCCGTATAGGAAGGTGAAGCTCGTCAATGGCTTCCTGCAACATTAAGCAGACATCCTTGCCTATAGCATCTGGGATGTCGAATCCCTTCGTCCATCGGATGAGGGTGCCTCGGTTGATGCCGACCTGGTTCACGGGGAAGCTGAAGGTGAAGCCCAGATCGAAAATCTCCTCCTCGCGGTATACCTCATTGGTTCCGGTCAAGCGGCGTCTCCGCACATGGGCCTCGAAGTGATCGTTGTGGTGTTCTTCCAGGAAGGCCTCGATCTGCTTGGCGATGAACTTGAAGAGCTCTTTGTAGGAACTGGACACCATCAGGTTGCGGGGGATGGCGACTTTCGACTGGGTGAGAGAGAAGGTGCTGTCGCCATGGAGCTGGACGGAACAGACCCGGAAGTTGGTTCCACCAAGATCAACTGCCAAATACAGTCCCTATTCAGAGTCAGACGGCGCTCGAATAAAGAAGGCAAGCAAGCGCTTGACTTGATGTGGTCGAACAGGACACGTGGATGAAAAAAAAAAGGGCCATGTGAAACCAAAGCAAGAGGTTGAAAAGCATCGAAAAAACAAATGGCATCAAGAGTAAAAATAAAGAAAAAAGGGGTTACCTTTTCAGTGCCATTCGGCACGCTGGTGACATAGCTGGGGATCTGGCTGAGGGTTGCGCCGTGCTTGGAGAGCCCCTCGTGCATCTCGCGGATGAATTCCTGAACCCCGCGCTGCACCTGGTCGGAGGGGTAGTCGAACTCGTGCGCGACGCCAAGGGCCGCCTGGACGACGGGAGAGGACGCCATGGGGTCGGCGGGCAGGGACACGGGCAGGAAACCAGGCGAGTTTGCGATCTGGGGATTGGGGCACCAGCACAGAGGCGAGGGGATGCTGTCGCACGCAGGCGAGTCGGGCTGGTAGCAGCAGTAATGATCGCGATCGCTCTTATAAACGGAGGTGACGATATGGGCAGCGGGCATGGAGGGGCGGCCAGGAACGCCGGATTCGCCGACCGACCAGACCGAGGCGGCAGGCCTGAGCAGCGAAGCCAGCAGGTGGACCAGACCCAGCAGCAGTACCGTGCCCCCCAGCAGCGCCCATGAGGCCCACGGCTTCCCGGTGAGCTCGAACTGGGACAGCACCGGGTTCACCAGCGTCAGGACTGACGCAGCATCAGGCGCAGACCGGGCATTGGGCGACTCTTCAGGCTTGCACGTCATGGGCGAGGCCGACGTCCATGCTGGCGTGCAGAGAAGCGCGTGGGCAACCCCGGACGGACCGCAAGACCCCTGGGATGCTCCCTTCCTCGCTCACCCACCGTATTGTATGGCAATTGACCCCGTCAGGCTCGAAGGATCAGAGA